AGAAGTCTCTAGAAACTGGCCCTCTTTTTTTTTTTTTTTTTTTTTTTTTTTATTTTCCCTCACTCCACAGTTAAAAATGTGGCTCTGACGATGCAATTGTTTATGGCAGCTCGAGGAAATACAGAGATAAGATACTGAAGAGTCATGGTCCCACTTCTACTTATTCGCTCTGGTGGGATGTGAATGTCGCCCATGGGGAAGAGGCAACAGGCCAATGAATAGACATTAGCCTCAAGCCTTGTTAATCTCTACCCGGACAACTGAATGACTCTCCCCTCTTTGTTCCTCTTGAATATGTGCCTAGTACCAGCATTCTGTACCTTTTGGAGGAATACAGATGTGTTGTTCAGGGAGTGTTAAATGAAATATAAATCTATGGAATCAGTAATTGCTTTAATGAACTGAGGAATTAACTTGTAGTTATGTAGAAATAAAAGTTAACAAATTAGAAAGAGATCATCCTAAAGGTGCTGGCTGCTAATTGCTTAAAGCTTTGTCTCCTTGTTTTTATCATAGGATCTTTTTTTCTGAGAGAAATCCTACATGAACCCCTAGTATATTCAACAGGAAACAAAACAAATCAAGACAAAAAACAAACAGAAACAAAAATTAATGTAGTTGAAGTGGCTTTCCGGTTGTGGGACCTTAGAAAGACTGTTTAACATTTGAGATCCTAAACTTTTTCATGTATCTTGATGAGGGAAAAATAAAGTGAATTTTGTAAATTGTAAATTTAAAGGTATTTTAGTTTTAATGGAAGATTCTGAGAGACAAAATTCTTAAGTATTAAAGAAAAATGTTTTCTAAAACATCATAACAACTATCATGAGAAGTAAAGATTTTTTAAGTACAAAGACCTTTCTCAGTGTCTCTTAAATCCTATAATGCTTGATGCTTCAAAGACTGCCCTGGCACTTAGATATCCCAGAGCAATTCTTTTTTTTGCAGGGAGACAGAAGATGAGCTAGGCTTTTCCTCCCTCCTCCTGACTGAGCAGAGAGGTCAAGCTCCTTTGCACAGAGACAGGAAGATTTGGGGGTGGGGGAAGGACGCAACCCTGAGAGTGGTGATTTCTGAGCAGAGGATGAGGGTGTTTCACCATGTTTCAACTCTCAGGACAGCGTTAGCGTGGCGAGAGGCCCTGAACTCTGAGCCAGGGCCATGGAGGCCTCTGTGCTGAGCCCCACATCCTGGGAGAAGCGGCGGGCCTGGCTCCGTCAGAGCCGTAACTGGCACACCCACGTCCTGGAAGAGGAGGCTGCAGCCGCCCTGCAGGATGTCTCAGATCCTGAGCCTTCCAGCCTGGATGACGTTTTCCAAGAAGGTAAGAGGCAGCTAGAGATCACACAGACTTCCGCGTGGTCTTGTGCAGAATGTGACAACAGCGTGGGTCTACAGTGTGGACAGTGGGTACCTTGTTTAGGCTAGGCTCTCACTGGACTTATTTTGACAGGTTTAAATGAGTTTAAGGGAAGAGGTGTAAAGTAATGCAAGAAAAGAATTATGTGAGAAAGAGACAAGCATTAGAATGGGAAAAAGAAAGAAGCACATTTTTGCATCATCCTGAGAAACTTCTGTAAGAACTCGAGGCTAGAAGTTCTCTATGAATGAATTTGTCAGGGTGTTTCAATTTTGTCTATGTAACAAGACTATACTCAAGCTGGATGCCTGGACTCTGGCCACAACTCTGTCACTAACAGGCTATGTGACCTTTGGGAAGTCACATGCCTTTCTAAGGTGTACTTTTCCAACTGAAGTAGTCGTACCTTTTCTACATGCCTCTCAGAGCTTCCTTGCGGTTCAAATGAAGCCACAGACATAAGAGTAAAAATTTCTGACAGGAATAAATTACTCCTTGCTTATTTGGCAGGAAACAAAAAGCATAAACACAAGATTGTGCTTTTCTTTTTTCTTTTTTTTAAGGAGAAGGATCCAAAACTTGGGGAAGAGAGAGCAGTGGGCCTGACATCTCGGGCATTTTCCAGGTTCCTGGGAGGAAGGAGGAAGGGAGGCAGAGAGAAAAGAAATATCCACTGTTTTTATATATGAGTATAGTCCTCTCACCTTAAAGAAAAAGTGTATGGGAGGAAAAGATTACGGGGGGGAAAGATTAATAGTGTGGCTTAGATAAGGATAAACTTGTGGAATGGGGAGAGTTGCAGGGAGCGTATGGGAGGAAAAGATTAATAGTGTGGCTTAGATAAGGATAAACTTGTGGAATGGGGAGAGTTGCAGGGAGCGGGTCTGGTTTCCTTCAGGTCTCACAGTGACCTGGGGTCTGACTTTTCCAGGGAATCCTATCAATAAGATTGAAGACTGGCTGCAGGAGTGTGGGTAAGTTCTGGACGGGCAATGGGCTGGATGTGGTTGACAGCTGGATATGCTAACAGGCACAACTCTTAGGAACTCAGAGACAGGCATATGGTTTGAATTGGGTCTAAAGATATGAGGTTGAGAAGGTGGTGGGAGGGGGTGTTACAGGGGGTTGGAGTCAATTGGTGAAGGGGCTGTGAATCAGGTGCAACTGTGTGCTAAGACTAAATTAGGCTGGAGGTCTGGAAATACAGGCTGGAAATGGTCTAAAGCTAAGAATGCAGGGGAAAATGCATCCATGGGGAATGGCTGGGCCGAGTTCCAGACCTCTATTCCATTGATTTTCCCTTCAGACTGGAGTGTTATATCGTGTAACAAAAGGAGTTAGAAACCTGACTACTCTTACTGAAGAACGATTCATCACTGTGTTTCTTTCTGCTACAGAACATAGGAGGAGGGGC